ATCCAGAATCTATCCAATGGCTAAAATGCCCTTCCCAACCACTATTAGTTGAGTTTAATCTTCCGATGAAATTGAAAATGGCAATTATTTCTTTCTCCTTTTTGAGGATGGAAACTACATCAGCTCTGTTCCAGTCCTCTGGTAGTTCTCTTTGATCTTTCTCTCAGCACTCCCTGTTTCTTACTCTAAATTAACTTCAGATAGGGAATAATTGCTACTACTTTGTTTGGCAGCTCTCCAGAGGGGCCAGTTTCTCAAGCTCTGACTATAAAACCCAGTAGCCATCCTGGAGAAGTCAGACATTGTCTTCCAAGGAGCCGACAACAATGAAGGCTTTAGTGCTCACCCTCCTCTTCCTCTTCTTTGCATGCAGTGAAGCCAAAATATACACCAAATGTGAACTGGCTTCAGTTCTGAAACAAAATGGCATGGATGGATATTTTGGCTACAGCTTGGGTAACTGTAAGTTTACTCTCTCTTTCTCTCTATTTGAGCAAGATCCAGATTTCCAAGAGGGATGCCAAATGGAGCAGATCTTTTCAAGAATAACTTCAACCAGCCCTTTTTAATGTTCTTAGAACAAGGAGATACGCTTTCTTCTCGACCCAAATGACTGGGAAGACCTCACACACCACCTGCAATAATACTCTCCTTCTTATGACGCTGATCAATCTCTGGTTTGTTGCCTGATTGGGACAACTGCAGAACTGAGATATGGTTATACCGCCTTGGTCTCTGTATTGTCTTTTTACAATTATGGCTTAGCCCATATTTTATTTACTCTCTTAAGAATAAGGAGATATCCCTGCCAGGATCAGCATCCTCTCAAAAGTTAGATATTTCAAATTCCACCAAATCATTTAAATTCTATATACAATTGAAGTAGCCATCACAGAAGATTTTCTACATGTGCAGTTTGGCAGAAGATGCACAATAAAAATTTACCTCTTGCCTGGAAGGCTGGAATTAGGAAGAGAGGAGAAAGGAGAGATGGCTTTATGTGTCCTTAAGAATTCCAGGAATATCTTGGAGACAAGAATCAGATTTATTCCAAATTTCCCTGAAGGTTTCCAAAATGTTTTGGAGGTCTTGTTACCTTCCTTGGTTGTGGAAAGAATGAAAAGATGGTTAATCATTGTATTATAAATGTTCTATTTAAAAAAATCAGGATAGCTGTTTCATTTATAACACTGGTCTTTTATAGCCCATTCTCCATTTGCTTTCTTCCAGGGATCTGTCTTGCTTTTCATGCGAGCAAGTACAACACCCACGTTGTGGATGGGCCAAACAAGGATAGCGGTAGCAACTATGGGATATTCCAGATAAACAGCCGCTATTGGTGCAAAAGTAAACAGGGCCGTACAAATAATCGCTGTTATAAGCCTTGCAGTGGTAAGACACGTCTGTCAAAGCTTTGACAGACTTTCAAAATTCTCTTATAATGCTCTACAACACAAGGAGGTAGTGTGCTTGTACACCCCTTGTAGTGCTGGTTTCAGGATCTGATTTACTATGTCAATAATAATAATAATAATAATAATAATAATAATAATAATAATAATAATAATAAGAAGAAGAAGAAGAAGAAGAAGAAGAAGAAGAAGAAGAAGAAGAAGAAGAAGAAGAAGAAGAAGAGTAGTAGTAGTAGTAGTAGTAGTAGTAGTAGTAGTAGTAGTAGTAGTAGTAGTAGTAGTAGTAAAGTTGGAAGGTACCTTGGAGGTCATCTAGTCCAACCCCCTGCTCAGGCAGGAAACCCTATACCATTTCGGACAAATGGCTGTCCAATCTCTTCTTAAAAACTTCCAGTGTTGGAGCATTCACCACTTCTGGAGGCAGGTTGTTCCACTGGTTAATTGTTCTAACTGTCAGGAAGTTTCTCCTTAGTTCTAGGTTGCTTCTCCTTGATTAGTTTCCACCCGTTGCTTCTTGTCCTGCCTTCAGGCGCCTTGGAGAATAGCTTGACTCCCTCTTCTTTGTGGCAGCCCCTGAGGTATAGGAACACTGCTATCATGTCTCCCCTCGTCCTTCTCTTCGTTAAACCAGACATACCCAATTCCAGCAGCTGTTCCTTATATGTCAAATCAAAATTTTGTAGGGATATTCTAGTCCTTCTTTTTCTCCTTTGTTGCTCTCTATAGGGGATTGCTCTCCATGAGGATTGTCATTGAATCACCAACACTGTCTCTCAAAATTGTTTTGAGTTGCTGTTCGGGTCAACGGTGTTTATATCTAGCCACTGTGTTTTCAGGCCTCTTAGCTTTCTTCTGTTTAGTATCCTGCTACCCAACTTGTCACAACTACTCTAAATTCCTTCACACAGATATATCTTGCTTTCTGCTCCCAGAACATCCACCATAGTTTTTTTATACCACACTTTTATTATTTTTATAAACAACTCAAGGTTGGGTACTTACCTAATATTCCTTCCTCCTTCTCCTCCTATTTTGCTCAAAAGAACTTAAATCTCTGAAGTGAGTTGAGCTGAGGGGATATAACTGGCCCAAAATCACCCAACCAGCTCTCATTTCCAAGGTGAGACTGGAACTCACAGTCTCCTGGTGTATAGCAGGGAGCCTTACCACTGGCACACTGGCTGAGGAATTCTGGGAGTTGAAGTCCATGAGTCATAAAAGGGCCGAGTTTGAAGACCCCTGCACTAGACTAACCTGGGTCTCCATGTGCAATGCAAAGGGTTGTTTGATAAAAGAGCCACCTGATCTTGTCTTCACTGTAATTAGTCAATATCTTGCTTGAGGCACAAGTTAAAGGCAACAATATAAGCTCCAGAATCCCACCCAATTAAGGAACCTGATCCTGTATTTTCTGCCCTTTGCAGAGAAATCTGGTTCTTGGACACAGGTGAGAGATTTCTTCTCTCGTTCCTTTCCAAGAGTGCAATGAGACTGTTGGGAAGTCAGCATATCCAGCATATCCAGCCCTACAGCTAAAACCGATTATTGGTACATTACACTTTTCGGAGTTGTTACTCTGCATGGTTAGAGCATGAGAAGAGGCAGTTAATGGTCTACACCAGCTGTGTAAAAAATAGGTTATACCATTAAGGACATGAATGTATTGCATAATGTACCTAACTAACGAAATCCTATGATTAAAGGGTCCATTGGGTAAGAATCTGCTTTAAACAATTTTATGCAAGTCTTTGGAAATACCATGGAAACATCTGGAATTGGACAAATTCCAATTTGCCACTTTCTGCAGCTTTCTTAGATGATGACATCACAGATGATATTGCTTGTGCTAAGAAAATTGTGCGTGGTCATAATAGGATGAGTGCCTGGTGAGTCAATCTCTTATTAACATCTTCCACTTGTAACATGGGGTAACAACAGAACTTGTAGTTGTGAAAATTAATTGCCTTTCTTTAGACTATTGTACAACTTTTAGCATGGGTGGTAAAATATACTTTCTGAATATGACAAGATGCACTTCTTTTGCTATACTTGCATTCTGGTTGCTTTAAAATATGGGTTTATCTTTTGAACCCAGGTTTAATGGTAGACTAAGACACAACACTAAGACCTGGCAGGGGGAGGCTGTTGTTGATGATTATAGCTGGATTATTCCTTCCCAGTGATTTCACATACATTATCCACCTATGTGCTTTAAAATCTGGGATTTATTACCCAGTAGGGACAGGTTGCAAAAGAATATGGCAGATGGCCTTTTAAACACCAGGATTCTGATCCCATGGATAAGCTCCCTAGGATCAGAGAAGTGGATATGTAAACATCATAATAGTGAGAGAAGCAGGGAGAGATCGTTCATGAAGCCACCAAGTCATAGGATTAATAGGAACCGCAGCTGCAGAAGCAGATCATTAGATGGAAAACTCTTAAGCCAGCAATCAGCATTTAAAAGCAAATCATAAAGACATTATGTAGTTAACAGTTGAGTTATCTAACAGTTACTCTGCTGTGTGCCCTTCTGAGACACTCTAAGGTTTTGGGCAGGGTTTTATGACCCCTCTGGTGCTCACCCAATACTTCAGTCCCCACTGGCATGGACTCTATCAAGGTTATGTGGGAGTCCAAATTATCTATTGGGCATCAGTGGCATCTATTTCTGACTTTATTGTCAAAAATAAAAAGTGAAAACTATTTTAGCTATAACAATTATTGAAACCTGGGGGAAATGAGATTAATTTAAATAACTAAGAAAATTATCAGTCAACGAAGAGGAAAGATGAATGAATGATAGTTGCAACTAGCTAACTTTGAATCTCCCCTATTAGACTGAAGTTTTCAAAGAAAGAACTATACGTGTGGTCTAGAAAGACATGCATTAGGTTTATTTTTATTCTTATTCCTTTTTTAAGGTGGCCCTGGAAGAACAACTGCAAAGGAACGAATGTGTCAAAATGGAGCAAAGGCTGCACCCTGTGAAATTGATGATCCTGTATTTCTCTTCCTCCTCCTGTAATGAAAATGATATTATTCTTCCTATAAACCCAGTTTGATTCTATGCCTGCACTCCACACATTGAGAAGAATGAATTTCTTTGCACACAAACTATGAGTTCTAAATGGCTTCTGGATGGAAAAGAGGGAAAGACCTTGCTTTTTAAAATCTTCAAAAATAGCTTCCATAAAATGAGTATTGTGCATTATGCCCTTCCCTGTTTCATGTTTTATTTCCTTTTCATCCTTCATTATTCTGAAATAATTGAACTGCCTACGAATCATTCTTACTGCAGAGCAGATGTATGCAACCAACTATGTCGGTGATGGCAAACCTTTTAGAGACCGAGTGCCCAAACTACAACCCAAAACCCACTTATTTATTGCAAAGTGACAACACAGCAATTTAGCCTGAATACTGAAGTTTTAGTTTAGAAAAAACAACTCATACATTAACATCTTTTGTCTTAAAAGAAAAACACAATAACAAAGCTTTCAATGATACAAACAACTTTTTATTGAAAGGTAAAAGTTTGGCATTTGGCATGCTTTTGAACAATTAATGTGATTTTTCTTGTTGTATGCATGCTGATAATTTGTCTAGCCTTGGCTCATACTTTGTAAGTTTGAGAGCAACACATGCAGCACTCAGGTCATCTATTAGTCTGTTTCTGGTGTCAGATTTGATATAATTCAAAGCTGAAAACAGCTGCTCACAAGCATAAGATGATCCAAACAAAGTAAAGGAAGCAATCCCAAGTGCTTTCATTGACTTAAAATTATTTGGCAGAGAATTCCACACACTGTGCTGTCCTTTGTTATCCTTGTTTTCGCAGGATTGCTCTCAATAAGAGCGAGGCGCGCTTTGGCTCCATTTTTGCCAGAAACGGACTTGGGAAATAGCTTTTTCCTGAGAAAACTTAGCCAAAGAGTGAGGCGAGCATGCCCACAAAGAGGGCTCTGAGTGCCCCCTTTGACACGCGTGCCATAGGTTCGCCACCATTGAACTATGTCATTCATTCAAAGCTTGGTGTCATTTAAAGAGACGCATCTCTTCATACAATATTAGGAAACTATCTTGAAACTCTTATATGAAAACTCTTGGTTGGCTTCCAAGGCCACACAAATTCTACGGTTACCCTGCAATGATGTTAAACCTCAGCTTTTCGTCTGTAGCATAAAAACTGATGTCTGAATTTGGAATTTGCTCCCATTTAGCTCCCATTTGTTTACCTGCCAAATACCAGAGCATAGACAACAACATCAGATTAATGACACAGACCAAATTACTGTGATTTATGCTCTTCCAATGTCCTTATCACATCTCTTCTCATAGTCTGGACATGCTAGTCTGTTGAATCTAGTCTACTAATCTCGTCTACTCAGTTGCAGTATGTACAATTAAACATGGTCCAGCTGTGATACCTGCACATGCAGAAAGTTGAGAAGACTGCTGGAAACTCTGTTCAAGTAAACATATGCACAAAACCCCCAGCAGCAGATGGAAGCAAAAGCTCTTGGAGAACCTGGTTAATGCTAAGTAAGATTCAGCCTGCAAAATCTCCCAGTTTGTAATAATTTCAACCAGGAAGAATCTTTTGTGTGATCTCATTCAATGGGATTTGAAGCATTGGGTTCTAGTGAGAACTGAAGGCCAAGCTATTCTGTATTGGAAGGAGCCAGTATAAGGAGGTTTCAGTTTTTTAATTTTAGCAGGGACTAGATACATCTTCAGCCGCAATTTCCCACAGCCACTTGCAGGCCCATTTTGCTCCCAAAGACTCCAAAGCCTTGTCTCAGAAATTCAGGAGTTCCGGGGGCTCTTGTCAGGGGTTTTGAAATCAGAAAAGTAACCTATGACCTCAGAGGTAGGAGACATCTATAAATTAGTCATAATTTTTTGGTGATTAGAACAAGTAGATGGATGTACCTGGGTAGAATATTTACTAAGGATGAAAAAAAAGATATGGGTAGTTTAGCTGAATAGGAGGTTATTGTGTAGCATGTAGTCTGTTTAGAGGATCATACATTTATTAAAATAAGCAGAAAGATTTGTATGGAAGAGTGTTTCTGTTCACTTTAATACATGGAAATTAATCTCAGTGCAGCAGGAATGCTATCCTGAAGTACCTCTGTTAACAATTTTGCGGTGGGATAAGATCAGAAATGCATGAGTGACAATAGGCATGTGGGTTGAATGCACCAGTGAGTGACCTTTACAAAGTACACTGCGGAATTTGTTCATTTAAAGATAGTGAATGAGGAGCAAACTGCAAAATCTATGAAGGAAGTGTACGTGGATAGGGAGCTTGCAGATACAAACATCAATTATAATTCCTGTTGATTTTAGTTGGTTAATGGACTTAAAATCCATTAAAATCCATCAAACCTGAATGTGTTTTATACTGGAATTAAAAAAGTTGAGGTATGGAAACATTAATCATTTGGATGTGACCTAAGAGAGTTAGAACAAGGGTTTGGAGAGCAAACAGAGACAAAAAGTCAAGCAATCCCATACTACTGCAAACACTGCCTAAATTTTGCCCAGTTGAATGCTCCCATTAGTCAATGGCCCTTCATGGAGAAAAGTATGGTATGATATATTTTTAACATGGGCTTGTTTCCCATACACATTTCTCTAGAATTAAATTTGTGCACACACTTGTGTGTGAAAGAAGAAAGGGTGCACTTGACATACTCCTAAGAAAAAATAAAACAATAACCTCTTTTAGAAGGTATACAACAAGGAACTGCTTTGTCATTTATGACTGGATATGGAATTCTTATCCAAAACTTTTTTTACCAGAAAATTAAACAATGGAATTAGAAGATTTAATGAGTTGAAAGAAATTGTTTTGTGATTCTTTGGGGATATATATAAAGGAGAAATAAGGCAAGAGCAGAATCATCTTGTAGAGGAGATGGGTGGCATATAAATTTAATAAATAAGTAAACAAGCAAACAAACAAACTGACCAAGCAAAAGTCCTATGACAAGGCTCTTACTTGAAGTGGAGAAATAAACATTCGACTTTTGGATGTATTGTGTAGGAGAGTCTCTTAAAGTGGATGCTGTACACGGATCTAAAGAAGTCATCTCTCAATTCAGATTATTCTCTGGAAGAGACAGTTCTATTTATAATTGATTAAAACATTTTACTAACCACTTCCCATAAATAAGATTGCTATTTGGAACACCAGTGAGCGATTTTTATGTAATACTAATTAATGGATTTTTTTATATTTATATTAGTTTCCTGTAAACTGACTAGTCTTGACACTTGATGAAATTACAAATATATATTTTAGAAGTTAAACAATTTGAAACTCTCTTGGATAAAAGCAATTCTTCGAATCCATTTTGTTTTTCATTTTTCTAAAGTATCTTAATTTGGAAACTAATAATAGGGAGGGAGGAGGGAGAGAAACAGAGAGGCTTTCCTCAGCCTCTCCAATTGCCCACCACCCTCTGCAATTGCTGCCACCCAGCCACCCGCCGCCCTCCCCAGCCACCCACAGTGTCCTCAGCACCTCGCATCGTTGTCTCCCACAGCTGCCCGCTGCCTAATTGGCTGCCAGGAACTGCAGCTATTTTTCCTGTGCAGCAAATTGCCTGGGTAAAAACGTGCTTCTGGGAATCGGCCAGGATGAGGGGCTGGAGGTGGAGGGCCATGTGGCCATTGGCAGTGGAGAATCATGGCAGAGAGCCAGCAGAGGAAGAAAGTCCACTGTGGGTTGGCTGTGGCGGATGGCGGGGAGTGAAGTGGATACGGAGAAATCTTGACACCTAATAGTCCCATTCCAGCTATGGCTGTGTGGAGCAGATTTCCACTGGCACTTGAGGAGCTTATAACATAGTAAAAGGGAGGTTTTTACTGCCATCCAGTCTGAGTGAGAAGGTGGCAAAGAAATTACTTCTATCCAGAGAAAATAAAGCCCTCCAAACTAGCAGAGACAAATGGGGCTGGCAGAAGAGTGAACAGGTAATGCTCAGTTCACCTATCTGGTGGCCAAGGAATAAAAGGCTTAAGATTTTTAAAATTGGGTTATAAACCAGTATATATTGTCCCCAAAAGGCAGACAGAGAAGTTTCAAGAGTTATTTATACAAGAGCCTTCGGAGTCATTCAAGCATGCCTGCTGCATATACTATATCTATGACATTAGATACCATGTCAATTTGAACTTTGTTCCTCTTTTGATAATAATTTAAACACACACACACACACACACACACACTTTCAGATGTCCTTTGAAACCTCAATAAACCAGACTTGAATTCTGCACTAGATCAAAGATGTCTGTTATTTTAAATGACTACAAGTAATACTTTAACCCACATGTATTTTTTGTGGGATAAAAGGACTCAGTTTTATATCACAGAAACATCAGAATATCTATTTAGGAAGATGAAAGAAGAGAACTGACTATTTACTTGCCATTATTTAGAGATCTCACATTCCTTGCAAGCAGCCCACAGTTTTAACAACATAAAACAAGAACTTCCTCTATAGAATCTGACTGTCGGAAAGTTTTCAAACATCTTTTACAATCAGTACTTATCCTCAATGTCCAGGCTATGAAACAATAAAATTGTAACAATATCCAGTGAAAATGTATTTTAAAAATGCCTAGAGAAGGATTGGGTATAAAATGAAGCCTTAACCATTTTCATTTCAGAGGAAGGAAATTCATGAAGTCAAACCCGCCAGCTAGTTGTCACTATTTATGGCAACTGGATGTCCTCCAGGAGGGCACATGCAAACAACTGAGGATGATTGGAGGTACTAGCTAGAGAAAAAAGTGGACCAAGCTGTTTAGGGATTTTATTCATCTGTTTATTTAAAATATTTATATATCCAACATTTTTTACTAAATTCTGGGTGGCTCACAACCAAAAGATAAAACTGCATCTTTGTACAATAAAAATATCTGGAAAGACTTAAACACTGGGCGCTATCGAACAAAATGAAATTCAATGGTGAAAA